TGCACACAGTATACAAACCTGTGAAACTAGAATAAATTTAAAAAGTACCTTTCCTATAAATATCTTAAAATTGGTGTACACTTGAAATCTATTTTTTTTTTATTGCTGTGACAAGTGGGAAATTCCATAAAGTGAAAATTTAGTGTGTTTTGATTTTGTTGTAAAATGTGATATTTATGGTATGGAAACTGGAGATATGCATCCAACTTGTACTATGTTCCTTATGCAGAGTTAAGAATCAATCAAACAAACAAAACAAACACTCTAATGGTTCAACAGTGTTCTTCATAAAGTTATTGTAAGGGTGGAGTTCAAAGAAGAGGAACTCAGAGTCTTTCATGCTTTATCTATTCCAGGAAAGGCCACTGACGTAGCTATTAACTTGAGATGATTCTAAATGTAAGTTACCAAGTCTAAGGACTTACAAATTGTAATCTATATAATAAAAAGCTAGTAGTTGTTATGCTGTAATGACCAAAGACCGGTGTGGCAAGGAATACATGGGTGGGAAAAGCTGCGTGCATGGTGAGGCATGCGTGGGTGGGTGGGGCCATGTGATTTCGTGTGCTGGGCTTCTAGTATCATCATATAACTTTTAGTTATCTAAGTTAGGAATGTTTGATTCTAAGGGGAAACTAGAAATGAAATGAAATTATCTCTAGTAATTATATCTAATACTGGTATGTAGGCTTTCACTTAAGCTTATAGATATTTTGTTATTACTTCTTCATCCTGACATAAGAATAGGCTAATTGTTGTAATTATATTACAGTTCATGGGCTATGGGGAAGCACGAGACTTGGTTGGAAAGTCTGTAAGGAGGATGCTCTGAAAGGTTGGGGCCTCTGGGGGGACCTTGCCAAAGGCAGCAGCCCCTACCTTGACTTTTCCAAAAAAGTCTTATCTCTTGGGTATTTTACTAGAATCTGTATGTTTATACTTCAAAATGTCCTTGCTTTTTAAAGGACGGATGTGTTTTCTCAAGGATGCTTACTCTGCTAATAGCATCTAATAGTTAATTTTAGTTCAAGCTGTTATTACAATAAAAGCCAAAGGAGGCAGGCGAACAGAGCTACTTGATGGCGATAGCCAACTAGTTCCTTAGCCCTCTCTTTCACAGAAACGTGTGTCAGAGTAATCATTTACCCGTTGTTCAGAGTCTGCTGGTCATCTCCAGGAATGGGCTTCTCATAAATTCTTCTAAGAAACTCTAATTTAGCTTTTGACTTATTTAGTTTGATATACTTGCTAATAATTTATTTCTGTAATGTTAATAAAAAATTTTAATATATCCCAATATACATACATATTAAAACACACACATGTACCTGTGTGTTAATGTATTATGTATATGTCTTTAACCTAATGTCTTTTTTGGTTCCAGGATCCCAACCAGGCCATCACAGTGGGTTCTCAAAGCCATCTTGTGGTTAACTTCCCAGTTTCATATCATTCATGATAGGAAAAGACAACCAATTAAAAGTTAAGCTTTTCTAACCCTTTCAGGGAAAATGTTGTGTCTAGAATATATTAGCCCAGCCATCCTGGCTCAGTGGTTGAGCATCAACCTATGAAACAGGAGGTCACGGCTTGATTCCTGGTTAGGGCTTATGCCCAGGTTACAGACTTGATCCCCAGTGAGGGGCAGGTAGAAGGCAGCCAATCAATGATTCTCTCTCATCATTGATGTTTCTATCTCTGTCTTCCTCTTTAAAGTCAATTAAAAAATATATTTTAAAAATTTTAATTTAAAAAAGAAGAATATCTTAGTTGGCTCATATCAATAAATTCAATCTGATAGCACTTGATAATTCTTTTTTAAAAAAAATATTTTATTGATTTTTTTCACAAAGAGGAAAGGAGAGAGAGCGAGAGCTAGAAACATCGATGAGAGAGAAACATCGACCAGCTGCCTCTTGCACACCCTTCACTGGGGATGTGCCTGTAACCAATGCACATGCCCCCGACTGGAATCGAACTCGGACCTTTCAGCCCGCAGACCGATGCTCTATCACTGAGCCAAACCAGTTTCGGCAGCACTTGATAATTCTTCATCTCGACCCCTTTGTTATATTCCTAGAGATGCTATGGCAAAGTACCACAGAGTGGCTTAAAACAACAGAAATTTATTCTCTCCTAGTTCTTGAAGCTAAATATCTGAAATGAAGTTGTCAGCAGGGCTATGCTTCTTCTAAAGTAGGGGTGTCGAATCAGAGAAGGGGCCAAAATCTAAAATCCAGCCTAAATCACGGGCCGAATGGTTTACTGAACAGTCATAAACTGTCATTGTGATGGAAACGCAGCAGAGTGCACTGATGACAGCGCGGTGTGGGCCACATTGCAAGGCCTGGCGGGACGGATTTGGCCCGCGGGCCTTGTGTTTGACACATGTGTTCTAAAGGCTCTTTGGAATAAACTTTCCTTGCCCTTCCCTAGCTCCTACTGGCTCCCAGAAGTTCTTGGCTTATAGCTACTTCACTGCAATCTCTGCTTCCATCTTCAAACATGCTTCTTCCTCAGTGTCTATATATTTCTTCATCTTCTCATCATATAAGGATGCTGGTCATTATATTTAGGGCCCAGTCTAATCCAGCATTACATGGATTAAATCTGCAAAGACCCTATTTCCAAATAAAGTGACATGAGGTTCCAGATGAACATGAATTTCGGGCGACAATATTTAATCCAATATAATCATATACTTTTACTATTCATAAGATATATAACTCACATATTCTTTCACTTGCTGTGATTTTTGAGCATGTGTATTTATTACTATTTAAAATAAAATTAAAAGGGTAAAATACCCACTATTCTTTGCTTTAAAATGCAAATAGTCTTTCCATCCAGTTTCTCCTTTTGGTGCACACTATCATATAATCTTTCTATGCTGGTTTTCCAGTCTTGCCTATTTCCAATCTTTTCTCTAACTGCAAACAAAATGATCTTCCAAAACAATCCTTCCTGTGTTTCAACAAGGACCAAGCACAGGCTCCCTGGTTAGCCGAAGGTGACTTTTCATAATCTAGTTTCCAGCATCCTTCTTCCAATTTCATCTATATATATATAAAACCCTAATAAGCAAATAGACCAAAATGCAGAACAACTCAACAACCAGTTGCTATGATGTGCACTGACCACCAGGGGGAACCTGTGGAACATGGCAGGCATCGGCTGTGGTGGGATGATGGAGCAGGTGAGCTGGGGCAACAGACCAAGGTGGGGCACTGGTCGCTGTCATCAGGGTGAGCCTCTGGAGGTTCCTGAAAATTTTTTGCTCTCATGTGCCATGACCCTGCCCAGCACTTGCACCCACTGCTGGCGCCCTGCATTGCCCCGATTGCTCAGCACCATCAGAGGATGTGAGCAGCAGCTGCGAGCCCTATTCACCCCTGAGGGCTTCTCCTCCTCCCCCTGCTCCTGAGGGGCAATCAGGGCAACAGCTGCTGCTCAAACCTGCTGACAGCACTGGCCCCAATGCTTCAGGAGCAATGGTGGGGGGCAGAGCAGGGCTGCCAGGAGACAGGGGACCAAGGGCTGCAGCAGGAGGGGCCAGGCGAGGGTGCAGATGGGCTGAGACCCACCCGTGCCCACTGCAGCCTCGTGACCCACAGTTCCTTTCAAGGTACATGACTTCGTGCACTGGGCCCCTAGTCTTTCAATAAAATCTCTGCTTCCTTCCTAGTTTTTGCCCCACAATATTTGCAGGTTTCTCAATTGCCATGCCATTTCCTCCTTCTGTATTCTGGTTCTGTACTGTTTGCTTGATAATACCCTTTGTATCCATGACTGCTGTTCACGTGTAGAGGCTATCACTAATCTATAGAGACAGAAAGGAAAGTAGTGGTTGTTGTCTGAGGTTATGGTGGTGAGAATGAAGACTGATCACAAACAGGCATGAAAGATATTTTTGGAGTGATGGAAATAGTCTAAAATTAGGTGGTAGTGATGGTTGTACAACTTTGTATATTTATTTAAACTCATTGCATTGTACATTTAAAATGAGTGAACTTTATGGTGTTTAAACAATAATTTTTTTTTTTTTTTTTTTTTTTTTTAGAACTGGGTAAAAAATATTGTCTACTCTTTTGGATTATAGTCAACATATACAAATAACATATAAAAAATAGATCATCCAGTGCATTCAAAATTATTCTCAACTCTAAAGAAAAAAAAAGGCACCTATTAGATATTAAAATATACTGAACTGCAAGAGGGTGACAAAACCATTCCAGAAAAAAAAAAATCAGATTTAACTGCTTCTTTGCTAGTATGGGAGATCTTAAAACTGCAGGCATTTCACTACTTGATCTTTGATCTGTTAATATTTTCCTTTTGCTCTTGTTCCTCTAAAATCAAATTTTCTATTTGAAAGAGCACAGTCGAGAACACACAGGGCCGCGCCTGCGCAGTGGAACAGGTTCGCCCCCCGTTCCCGCCCTCAGGCAGGGGAGGGACCGTAACTTCCAAGCCCTGGGACCTGGAGCCTGACTCCGCACGGAAGGCCACGGTCCTCCGGCCTCGGGGGCGGACCGTGACGGCATCATTCTCGGAAGGGCTGGCAGGCCGCGCCACACTACCTGCCCACACCCCTCTCTTTACAGTTGAGGAAACGCGGGTGGGCGCTGGGTGACACTCGGGAGCCCCGAGTGCCACTGAAAGATGCCCAAACAAACACATCAGCGCCCTTCACACCTCGGGCCGGTTTCCCTCCTCCTCCCCCTCCTCACCGAGGACGCGTCCCGCTGGGTTCCCTTTCCTCCCCCCTCTACTTTCCCCCTGGGGCTGCCCGCGACCCCCCCAAAAAAAGGAAGGCGCACCACACACCTTGGGGCCAAGTGACAGCTCCAGGGTGTGGAGCATGCGCAGTGGCGACGCCACTAAGGACGCCTCCCCGTCGCGCTCCGCCGCGCAGGCGCAGGCGCAGGCCCCGCCCCTAGACGCTCCGCCCTCGCGGGCCACGCCCCCTCGGCGGGGGTCAGAGGCCGCGGGGCGGGCGGCCGTGACGCGCGCGGAAGCGCCCTGGGCAGCCTCGGGAGCCGGCGGGCAGCGGAGCGGCGGCGGCGGCCACGGCCGGGCGCCCCGACGGCAGGGGCCCTGGATCGCTCGGAGGCGCTGACCCCCCGCGGCCCCGCCGCCGTCCCCGGCGGCTCCATGAGTCGGGAGACCATGCCCCAGCCGGGAGCCTGGCTGGGCGCGGGCCGTGCGGAGAAGCTGGCGCGGGAGGCGGGCGCCGTGTCCCCGGGCCCCGGCAGAGCCGCCGCGCGGGGAGGCGGGAAGGCGGCGGCCGGCGGGCAGCAGCGGGCCGCCGTGCGGTGCCCGGCCGAGCAGTAAGTTCGCAGGGCGCGGGCGGTGGGAGGGGCACCGGGCTCGGTCCCCCCGGGAGGCTGGGCATGGGGTGGGGTGGGCTGGGAAGCAGCCGGCATGGGGTGGGGTGGGCTCTCAGTAAGGTGGTCGGGGCAGCGGCGTTTGGAGACAGTTGTAACCAGAGTACGAAGGTTTTTCCGGAGGGACCCCCTCCCAGGTATGGTCACCTAGTGCCCGACTTCACACCTCCCCCCCCCCCCCCCCCATAGTCTGTCTGCATTAGGGGTTAGGGTTAGGGTTAGGGTAACTCTGAAGTCTAAGAAAGCGCCAGGAACTTGGGAAACCTACTGTGTTACACCGAACACCCAGCGGATCTTTCCTCCAACCTGGCAGGAAAATGGAGCCAGGCGGCAGGTGTGTTCCGGAAGGCAAGTCGCGGCTTGAGGAGCGGCCCACCTGTTGCTAGACTTGGCGCGGAGTCTGCTCCAATCTGGTCGCTTGTTAGCGGCTCGCCAGAGATCCCCCATTAGCCTTAAATACGGAAGGGAGTGCGGGTTAGATCCATTCCTTACGCAACTGCGAGAAAGCGGCATAGGTCCTGCAAGGGGATGGGGGTGGAAGCAGAATACACAGCTGAAGGCTGAAGCTTTGCTGCACTTTCCAAGCTCTAAGCACATATGTTTGAGTTCCCAAATTGAGGAAAGCATGCCGATAACCGGTTTGATAGATAAGTGGAAAGCTGAAGTAGGTGTATTTAAATGCTCTTTAAAAAAAATAAAGTTTTGCATTTCCTAAAAAGGGGTCTGTTGCAGGATTGTTAGGCAGCTAGTGTATTGTAATACTTCTCCTTTGCGTGGTTCTTTACCATGGGCTGTGTGGCATTCTCATTTATTGTGCACCCAAACCCTTTTCGATGTAATTATCCACACTTAGTGGCCGCTGGGAAGTATTTAGAGTAGGAAGTTTCAAACTCTGGCCCCCAGGAGTGAGGAGGTAGGTAACCTTGGTAAAGCTGGCCAGGTAGGTGTTCTCTGTGGGGGCGTAGTCTAAGTTTCAGCCTATAAGTTGGCTTTTCTATGTTAAAACAAACAAACTGATATTCGGACTTTTGTATGAAATGTCCTGACTTTAAAATATTTATATTTTAATTGAAACCATTAACTGGTGTGAGCTGATGTGACCTGTGGCTTCCATTTTGCTCCTTGAGTTGGAGACCTCAGACTCTGCAGCCTGTAAAATAGGAGCATTTTCTGCCTCTCCCCTCTCCCGGCCCATGCGGTGCCTAACTGCTGCCACCTCACTTCTGCCCCCATCTAATGGCCTTGCTGCTCAGATGCTGCTCCTCAGCCTCTGCAGAGCAGTTTCCTGCCCCTTGGCTGATGCAGAAATTATGAAGTGAGCATTATGTTCCCGAAAGTATACATATAGTTATTTGGCAACTTTTCCTGCTGCATGTGGCTCCCAGCGTCTGCATACCTGGGAAATGGGTCGTGGTGTGGAAGGAGCACTCCTTCCTGGTGAAGAGGTCTTTTGGCCTCTTCTGTCTTCTGCCAGTAGAACTATAGATTTAGAGCTGAAAGGAATCTAAAAAGCTCAGCCTAGGTTGTCATTTTATACATTAGGAAACTGAGTGGCCGATCGATAGGTACAGCTTGCCCAGGGAGAAACGGAGTAGGTTTCAAGGCCAAGTTCCCTGATGCCTGGGTGGGAACCTCCTCCAGTGTCTCTCCGGCTTCCTCAGCAAAGCAGGCAGAGGGACATGAATTAAGACAGCACACTTCAGATTTTTGTTTTCCTGGACTAGATGTTTCGTTTTGTAGTTTATTTAGAGCTTAAATTCTTTTTCTTCCCGCTTTTGTTGTCGGTGATCTTACTCTCTCTAACTCAGAACCAAGAGGAAGAAGCAAGGAAAGGAAGTGAAGATAACTTAAGGTGTCACCAACTGCAGAACATCACATCTTGTATTTTTTCGCTTTCTGGCCAATTATATAAGCAGTGAGGCTATTTCTGTTTGCTCTGTGACACTTTCTTAAGGGTTAGAGAAACTGCATCTTATAAACTGCTTATTTTATAGTTTGCAATGTAATGTGTGCACATCAGTTCTTATATGATGAAAAATGCAACCTAATAGTTGGGTAAAGATTTAAGTAAATAATGTAATGTCTGAATTACAACTTAAAATACTTTTAAATTGTGTTTTTCTGTCATTGGAGCCAACTTTGTTCTTCTCACTCAAAGAATTGTGTTTTCCCTGCACAGGAATTTGAATAAAATATTTGTACTTGAATATATGAAATAGCATAAAACTACAGATGTTTTGAGATACCTTGCAGTCATTTTTAATGCATTCTATTGACAGTACTTATGAGTACAAACCATAGCCCAAATTTATAGCCACCAATCATTTCAGATGTGTCTCTTTGAAGTGTGCAGTGATACATTGGGAAGGGATGGATCATTATCTAGGCAGTGCTGTAAGATACTGATTCTTTTAGGCCAACGATTTTCAACCCGTAGGCTGCAAGAATTTTTAAAACATGCAATATCTGACTATTGAGTCAAGAGCACTGACCTCTTCTCCCTCTCTCTCTCTCTCTCCCTCTCCCTCTCCCTCTCCCTCTCCCTCTATCCCCCTCTCTCTCTCCCTCTCTCTCTCCCTTTCTCCTTCTCTCTCTCTCTCTCTCTCTCTCTCTCTCTCTCTTCCCCCCCCCCTCTTCCTCTTCCTTTCCCTCTCTCTAAAATCAATAAGAATATCCTCAGGTGAGGATTAAAGAAGAAAATAATAGCAGCCAATACAACAATAGCATCCAATGTGGATGATTAAAAAAAATATATTACTTTTTTTTTTTTTTTTTTTTTTTTTGTCGGATCAGCAAAATATATTTTTTGGTGTACTGAAGAATTTTAGTAATTAGTTGGGTGTGCCATTAGATAAACAAGTTTGGAAATTGCTGCTTTAGACTAAGTTCACTGCATTTCCTAAGGGAGAGAAGTACAAAGAATGACATAAAAATCATATGGATAAGCTACTTGGTAAATCTTTTCCCCCTTCATCTCTCTCTCCCTTCTTTTCTTTCCTTCTTAGCTCTTGAGGTTGATTGCCATCTTCCCCAACCCCCTTAAGCCCTGAGGATGGCTCCTGAGATGAGCCCCATTTAAATACCTTGTAGGTCAGATCAGATTCAGTTGGCTTTTTTTTTTTGGACGCTTCTTCATTGCTTGTATCATCAGCAGGTCTCTTATGCTTCATCTCCTGCTCACCCCAGTCTTACATTTGAAGCTTACGCTATCTCCACGTCTTTGCTTAGGGAAGTGAGAAGCGAGACTGCTTTGTGGCTCTTCTCTGCCTGCTTGCCTCGTGGAAGGACAGGGTTTGAATCTGCGGTCCACGGGTTGGCCGTGGGTGGGTAGGGGGAGCATGACTGTGAACTGAAATTGAAGGCAACTCTTCATGTGCATTTATATGTTTCTGGGCCGAGCTTCTGATGAAAGCTGTGGCTTCTCAAAAGATCTGTGAATAACAACAAATTGTTAAAACATTGTTCTTGGGTGTTGCTAAATATACCACTGTGCCAGTGTGTTTTCCCACCCAGCTCACACGTGAGGAGCTTCAAGGGGCTATATTTGATGGGGTATCAGCTATGCCCTCCTGCCTCTCCCCTTACCTGGATGTAGAGCCAGCTTCAGAGTTGAGAGCTTAGATATCTCTGAGAATCAGGCCTCAGTGCTGAGGGTCCAGGGTCGTCCCCATACACCTCTGGAAGTTGTGTGGAGTATCGTGAGCCAGTCATGGAAAGTCCAGTTGCAGAAGGGTGGTGGAATTTTGGCCTGGGTGCTGGTACTTTCCTGCATTTGATGTGTTGTTCACCCATCTCTACAACTGGTAAGCGGAGGAGAAAGGCTCGGTTGAATGGTCTTTGCTATTCCTGTGTGGGAAGGTGCATTGGTGTCACAGTGGTTGACACTGTCTCACCAACACTGTCTGGGCCACTAGTCTCCCAGGACAGGCCAAGTTAAGCGTGAACTGCAGTGTTCAGGTTAAGAGAGCTGAACAAAATCATCTTCATGTTAGCTTTTTTAGACAAGGGGAAGTTGGTGCAAGTGTTCATAATGGTGAGGGATTAGAATGCTGTCTTGTTAGCTTTGCATATATGTCAGCATTGACTTTTTTCATGTTAGATCTTGTATCAGAAATTGAAAAATTGGCTTCACAGAAATGTGTTCTGCTTCACTGTGCTCTATGTTTTTAGATTATAGCTTTTGTTTTTAGGAATAGTGTAATTTTGTTTCTAGGTAGTAAGCATTTTTAAATTAAGTTTTCAAAAATGTATTGTTATGTAGGTCTTTGAACAGCAAGAGGAAGCTTATAATTTAGAATGCAATGTCATGTAACTTTCTCAATGGTGTATGTTGCCTTAATATTAATAAGATTATGTTACCTCTAGCATAAGAGAAAATGGGAACTTGAATATATACACTTTAAAATAACATTACAGTGCTAAACTAAACATTTTCTAAGGAGGAGTTGCTAACAGTTTGATTTTAAAATTTAATTAAATTGTATAATTGAGTGTGATTCACATGCCATCGTCCCCAGGAAATCAAGTCACATTTATGACTTCATCTTACTTTTCTTTACTAGTACTACAGTAGTTCCAGAGGGAACTTTGCTATGGGGCGGGATGGGGTCCTTCAGCCTGGCCTGGGCCCTCTCCGGGTGGGACCCCTCGCTCCTTAACACCCGTCTGATCACTGCTCCTTACTGCTCGGCTTGCTGCTCCTTAGCGCTGCTGTGGAGAGAGGCTCCTGCCACTGCTGCTGTGCTCGCTGGTTGTGAGCCTGGCTTTTGGCTGAGCGGCACTCCAGCTGTGGGAGCTCACTGACCATTGGGGGGCAGTTCCTGCGTTGAGTGTCTGCCCTCTGGTGGTCAGTGCACATCATAGCAACCAGTCGTTCTGGTCATTCCTCCATAACGGTTGCTGGGCTTTTATTATATAGACTAAAGGCCTGGGTGCACAAAATTCGTGCATGGGGGGGTGGGTATCCCTCAGCCCAGTCTGCACCCTCTCCAATCAGGACCCCTCGAGGGATGTTGGATATCCCCCTCACAATCCAGGACTGCTGGCTTCCAACTACTCAACTGCCTGCCTGCTTGATTGCCACTAACTGCTTCTGTCTGCCAGCCTGATCACCCCCTAACCACTCCCCTGCCAACCCGATCGATGCCTTACTGCTCCCCTGCTAGTCCAGTTGCCCCTAACTGTCCTCCTGTGCCAGCCTGGTCACCACTTACTTTCCTTCCCTGCAGGCCTGATCACCCCAACTACTCTCCCCTGCTGGCCCCGGAACCTCCAACTGCCCTCCCTTGCCAGTGTGGTCCCCCCAACTGGCCACCTCTGCTGGCCTGGTTCCTCCCCCCCCGCCCCAACTGCCCTCCCTTGCTGGCCATCTTGTGGTGGCCATCTTATCTCCACATGGTGGCAGCCATCTTTGACCATGTGGGGGTGGCCATCTTGTGTGTTGGAGTGATGGTCAATTTGCATATTACTCTTATTAGATAAGATGATCTCACTTTCTGTTTCTATCTTCCCTTTGATTTATTTCTGTTCCTCTATTGTTGGTCTTTGTGGGAATTTGCATTTGTGACTGGTCTGAGAAATGTTTGTTCTGAGAACCCCATCTGGGCACTGGTATTGCGATTGCACTTTGGTAACTTTGTAGATTGAAAAGGAAGAGGACAAAGTATAGCCAAATGTGCATGTAGCACAGCTACAGACTTTCCCTGGAGGTAGAATGTTTAACGACTAATAGATTCCTGGTCTGTTAGAAGTAAGAACTGGAAGAGGAACCATGTAGATCAGCAATTTTCAGCCTTATGCCACAGGAATTTTAAAACATGTGATACCTGTTTCGTCAGGGGCACTGACCTTTTCTCCCTTAGATTGTCAAATAAAAAACTGACATCAGCCGAAGCCGGTTTGGCTCAGTGGATAGAGCGTCAGCCTGTGGACTTAAAGGTCCCAGGTTCGATTTTGGTCAAGGGCATATACCTTGGTTGCGGGCACATCCCCAGTGGGAGGTATGCAGTAGGCAGCTGACTGATGTTTCTCTCTCATCCATGTTTCTAACTCTATCTTTCTTCCTTCCTCTCTGTAAAAAATCAATAAAATATATTTTTAAAAAAATAAAACAAAACAAACTGACAACAGCCAACACAAGAGTAGCTGTCCAATGTGAAACAATCCAAATGATACCTATTTCTTTTTGTCAAGTTGGCAAAAAAATACATTTTTTGGTGTGGTTCAGAATTTTACTATCGAATAATTAGTTTATGAATATCATGAGATGATGTAGGTCATTTAGATCTTATCCAGTCTTCTCTTTATGAAGACGAGAGAACTGACAAGATTAGGTAAGTGCTTGCCCAAAGAGATGCTTCTGGTAATATTTTGAAAGTGATTCACTTGAGTGCCTGTGTTTTAGGATCAGAATTTTTCACATTTGATCAAACTCGGAACATGGCCCGAAAGATATTAAATTAGCAAAAGAAGAACTAACACATTTAGTCACTTTTTATTTTAGGTGTTTGAGGTATAGGCTCTGGGAATCTGCTTTCTGTTTGTTTTGAACTCTGGCACAGGCTCCATGGTTGACATCACACCTTTTACTTGAAATCTGATGATCCAGAGTATGTGGAAAGTACCTTTTCCCTAATATGACCCCTCAACCCCAGAACATTAAAAAAAATCAGCCCACACATACCCCAGCACCTTTATTTTAGAAAGAAAAGGGGTATGTGAAAAGATTATTGTTTATTAATACTTTGAACCAATGGATATAGTATGAGAATTAATAGGAATAGCTAACTTTGAGTGCTGAATATTTTACATTGTCTCTTCCCATAACAACCCTTTGAGGTGGGTACTCTTACTGTCCTTGGTTAAATTTAGGCGCTGACAAATGTAGTTACTTTAGTTCTACAGTCATACATATGGCTGATAAGGGCTGCAGTGAGGACATTTTACCTCTGGGTTCCCACTCCAGTGGGGTCCCACATAGTACCTGTCCTGCTGTGCTAGGCTCATTGCCTATTAGGCAGAGGGAATGGGGAGAGTCAATCACAGGGTGTGAAAGTGCCTGCCTGGGAAACCTTGGATTGGTGTGGGTGTGTGTAGGGAATCACGGAATACTGGCTAGACTGGTAGGTTAAGTCCACATTTTAGACTTTTCTGCTTATTTGGGAACCATTGAAGAGTTTCAGGTTGGGTGGGGAGAGGCAGATATATTAGACTCCCCACCTCTCTCAACACACCTTCATCTGTCTCTTTCTCCCCTCACCCCTTCCTCTTTCTTCCAGCAGTACTAGGCCATGGAGAAGTAGCAGGGGGATCTGGGGATGGGAGCATCTCAGTCGTTCACTTAATTCCTTATTGTTTATTGACCTATTAACTCCTCCTTCCTGTGTGCCATTGTGCCTGGAGCCTCCTGTCTTGTGTGAGGATGGGGGTGTGCTGTCATCGAGGAGTATGGGGAATTGAGGGTCTGATTACTCCTTGTGTGTACATCAGTCAGTTTCCTTGGTCTCAGTTCTCAGTGTCTCCTGTACCTTCTGAATGAAGTACTTGGCCTTTCTGGGGTTCTGCAGGGTTTACTGGTCTTCTCTTCAACAGATGCCCTTCCACAGGCAGCAAGGATTCCCGTCCTTCACCATTTACTCCTCCTTTGTCCACGTTTGGACTTTACTATGTCTTGTGGTTTTAGCAAACATAGTGTTTCTGTTGCCCATCATTGTCATGTTGTGGTGTAAGTTGAGGGGGAGAGAAGGCACCCTAAAACCAAAAGTCCCATCATCTTTGTCTAGCACCCTTGTCTCCCTTTCTAGTACTTAGTAGGTTCTTGTTAGTTCAGTAAGTGAGACTAGAGACTCTTTAGGAAACTATTATATAAGTACCAAGTCAGTAGCAGTGGCAGCAACAAGAGTATGTGGGACAATAGGGATGTGCTCAGGGGAACATGAATATAACAGGGGGAGCCTTTGGAAGGTATTTATTTTTTTAGCTCTGGTGACTTGTAATAATTGATGCTCGCCTATTGTTATTAGAGTAGCTATTGTCAAATTTGTGACATTAAGGTGGACCATCGGCCTGCATACCTATATGAACACTTTTAATAGCACTGTATTTATTCTCGGAACTTGATAGACTATGACAGTGCTTCATTGATAAGACACATGCTAAGGTGCTTACATGTGCAGATGAGGCATTAATAGACTTGTAATTAAAATGGCCTCAGAGCCAGGTGGCAAATGGAGTGATGTAAAATGTCTCATTTGAAGTAAGAAACTCTGAAGTGGAATGATAGAAACACGAGCATCTAAGATGAAAGACCCATATTTTATCAAATTGTCATTAATAAGAAAAAAATTAAACTTCAAATGTCTTATCAATTTATAAGCACCTGCATTTGTGATAAGAGGGAAACTGTCAGTGCAACAGCTTTGAAATGTCTCATTTGGTATGATTTCAGCGAGGAGGACATGTATCGTGCTGCGGATGAAATAGAAAAGGAGAAAGAGTTACTTATACATGAAAGAGGGTTATCAGGTATGTTTGGAATTGTTTTATTTATTGTTTTATTGTTCTGTTTATAGTAGAAAATGCTGTTAAATCCGTATATCCATGTTCATAAAATATTAGGATGTACTTCCTAGGGGATATGCATATGGTCTTAGCTGCGTGCAATTATTCATTTTGTTAGAGTCTGGTGAGTATTGTTTCCTGAGGTCTTAACATTTTATTGAACATATTCTTTTCATGCCATTTTTGTACCCATCAGGATTGGTGGAGTCTCTTGACACTGCCCTCTCTTAGTTCTTGATTTCCTTACATTCTTGGAGGGAGAGTTTGGATTTGCAATGCAGTTTTCATTTCACATGGGAAGACTAATAGAGAACCGTGTCTTTGCATCAGATGGCTATGCGGATTTGACTGACTAGTAAGAAAGAATGATCATGGGATTGGTAGCACTGATCCTCTCGTTTCATGATTTTGTTTCATGTTTCTGCTCAGTCATGCCTGCTCTTCTCATCCCAACCGGGGACCTGTGACCCATCATTGCTGCTAGAGCGAGGCGTTACATCCTGGCCTCCTCCACTGTGTGTGAAGCACCTCATTACTTCACATCCATTTGGGGATTTGTCATGGGAGAGGCACAAGTGGCGTTTTCTCTCTTATTCCCATTGTAATGTGTGTGTTCTAGTGGTTTGTTTTGAGCACTAGCTTCTGTTTGTTTTATGGTTAACAAAAGCATTATCGTATGTGTGATTTGGAAGAAATGATACAAAGTGGGGTTTTGTTGATGGTGTTCAAGTCTTCCTCAGCTAGGAATTGGTGGAACTCCTCACTGGTGGCCATAGGAGATTTTCTTTGTAGGGGCCTAGTCAGATGTATTCTTGGGCCACACTGTTCTAGTCCTCCATGAAATTGCTGAGGACGCTTGGTTTCTGCTGCTGCAGTTACACAGAATTCACTTCTGATGCAGAGTTCTTATTAGTCATACTAGAGGCCCAGTGCACGAAATTCATGCACTTGGGATTGGGGGGTCTAGGGAGGTGTGTGTGTGGGGGGGGTTCCTCAGTCTGGCTTGCACCCTCTTGCAGTCCAGGAGCTCTCAAGGGATGTCCATCTGACAGCTTAGGCCTGCTTCCTGTGAGCCTGGCTTCTGGCTGAGCAGCACTTCTCCTGTGGTGGTCAGTGCATGGCTGTGTGATCAATTAGCATATTAGCCTTTTATTATATAGGATTCCTGAGGAAGAAGTGATTCTGGCTGTTGGGCATTCCTGCTACATTTGCAGAGTCCTCATTTTCTCCTTCACTCTGAAGGCTCTTTTTTGCCTGCCAGTAACAGCCCTAATGCAGGCAGTTGAGCTTTTCAGTGGGCCTGGTCACTTCCAGTGTTAGTCTGAGATTAAAATGGACCCCTTTATATTCTTTCTTGCATCTCAGCCCTCTGGGCTTATTCAGGGCCCTCCTGAAATAACAACCTTTGGAAGGGCCTCTGTAAGGATCTGTTGGTGGGAAGCTCTGTGTATTTGAAAAATTTATTTCAATTTTTTTCTTGAGTAACTCCAGATGAATAGTTGTTGCCTATAATCTTTTTGAAGAACATTTTATTGTGTTGTCTTCTAGTTTCTTTTAGTTAAAACACTGCAGTCAGACTAATCCTTAGTAGATAATCTGTCTTTTCCTTCTCTTTGTCTTAGGTGTTTCTCCTTGATAACTCTTAAGTGTGGATTTTTTTTTTTTTTTTTTTTAACGTGTTGCTTGATATTTTTTTTTTTCTGTTTGCATTTCTGGGTGCCTAGTTTTGTTTTTTTTCATCAGTTCAGAAGAATTTTCAGCTATTATCTTTATGACTATTGCCTTTTCCAGTTCTCGGTATTCACTCCTTCCAGAACTCTAATTAGATATTTGCTAGCCCCCATTCAGTCATCCGAGGCTCTCAATTACACACATTTTCATATATGTTTTTAATCTTGTAGCCTCTGTTGCATTCTAGATGGTTTATTCAGATTTATTTTCTTTCTCCCCCTCCCCCTCCATTTGCCTGATCATTTTGGCTAGTTTATTTTCTCTGCTCATGTTTTTAATTTCTTTATTTTTTTTTAAAGCATTTTAAACATACTCTTCTGGGTCTTTTATTTTTTAAAAATCCTGATAGATATAATTATTTTGCTTATTTCTTTCTTTAAAGGTTGAATTATAAGCTCAGCTCTTGCGTATCTGTGTATTGAGTTCATGCAACTTGGCTTGAGTGTGAGAAAATTTGGCCTTGTTTCTGCCAGGCACCCAGGGTGTCACCTCCCTTGGGCCACTTTATATGAATTTCCAGACTTGTGTTTCCAGGGTCTTGTGGCTGATCTGAATTTACACCCTGTCCCTGTCTGAGAGCCGGCCTGTGGTTATGAATTCTCAAGTCAGAGTTCAGGTCAACAAGGTTTTCTTATATTCACTCTTTGTTAGTGAAAAGGTTTCTTGCACCTTCTCTAGGGATCAGCATACTATGGCTCCCTAGCCAAACTTGACATGCCACCTGGTTTGGTAGAAAGGATGTCATTAGAACTTATCAGTTACATATTGTCATTGGTGGCTTTCGTGCATGGTAAAGTGGAGTAATTGTGACAGAACTTTATGGCCCCCAAAACCTATGTTACTTACTGTCTGGTTCATTATAGAAAAGTTGTGTAATTCTTGGCCCCCCCCCCAAAAAAAAAAATTTGCCTGGTCTTTTTGATAGCTTATTGTTGAGTCTCAGCTTTCTGGAGGGGTTCATCTGTAACTTCCCATGTCCCAAGGGTCTGATCTTTGACTTGGTCACCACATGGTGTTAAGAACCAGGCCTTTTGTTTCATCTCCTGGTTACCTTCTGTTTTTCAGCCTCTTCCCCCCTTTCCCATTAAAAATGTTCTTTCTGATAATCAGAGTCAATGTGGTTTGCAATTAAAGAAAGGAGCTGTTGAACACTCTAAGCAGCTTGCCCCTGGCCTAGAGGTTGGCAGTCAGTGGCTCTAGAGCCCGCCTCTCAAAAAACAGCAGCAGGAGGGAAATTAAAGTACCATTTTGATCTAGCAGCTGTGCAGGTACCCCGTGTCCTCACCCTCTCTGCCCAGTGTGCACATCTGACCCAGCACAGGATTGTGGCCTGGGCCTGGCTTCTTGGCCAGGTGAGGTGCCCTGCTTCTCCCCCTCAAACCTGAGGGGTAGGCCTGCCTGCCTGCCCTGCCCAGGAGGCAGGTGTCATTTTGGCACGTGCAGGAATGAGGACTGCAAGCGAGGAGAGGAGAAAGGCTGGACTTTCTTTCCTGGAGGCCTCTGCTGAGCAGGAAGCATGCTCTGCCTGGTGGGAGGACACGGCCCAGTAAACGTCCTTGACTCTGGACATTAGCAGTTCCTCGTGGTTTGTGGGGAGGTGAGTGGAAAGGCAGATACAAGACAACTCTTTCCTCTACTAAATAGTCAAAAAATGTTTCTTGAATTTCAAGCTATAGGTCTTTATTTGAAGATTGGCTGTGGAGCATTGGTGTTTGAGGTCTCTGTATAATGAGTAGGGGTCTGTTTCACCTTTAAGCCAATCCTGACTTATGCTATAGGAGTTGTCAGCTACATGATCTATGTTGTCTGTATATGTATTATTCCTCTTTTCAGACAGAGTTTATTTTCTTCATAAAGGGATTCACCATGAGATTTTAAAAAATACAGTTCTTAATGTTTTATATTAAAAAAAAACCCTGATTTACCTGAACTACAGGAAGGGCTTAGCAGTTCCTTTTTTGTGCTCCTTAATCATCTCAGCATCCATCACACCCTTGCTTGTGAATGCCTATTGTCTTTTCTTCAGGAGTTTCTTTAAACCCATTCAGGACAAAATCTGGGTCGCAAGCCTTCATATTCCTAGCTCAATGCTTGATGTGTATTAGACATAAATATTTGTTGAATTGAGCTGAATATAATATTTTTATTTTATGTCAACTTCCTCTGGAGTTGATACATTGTAAGGTTCTTCTGTGTTTATATCCTAATTTTTTTTGCTAACGTTTACTTCTTCAATAATTTAAAAAGAAAGTCAAGATATGCCTGAGAATATACTTCCCTTTCTTCCTAAAACATACACATAGATATAGGCATGTACGTGCATATGTGTAGACCACAAAATCCAACTCCAAACAGTAAGGAAAACTAAAGGCCATTTTCTTACTATGTCATTTGTCTGGACATAAGTTATATTTTTAATTTTGTTTTATTAGAGTAAAATGAGGTCTGTGGTTCAACTAACATTGAGAGCTCTTTTAGTTTCTGACTCATTATTATTGTAGTCTTTGGGGATTAGGGCAGGATATAAATTAATAATAACAAATACATGTTTTGTTACCAAAGTGTTATCTCTTTGTATAATGGATGAGAAAAAAACTTATTACAAGTAATTAGATGTATTTTCTCATAGCTCAGACTGTTGTTTAATTGATTGAAACAGTATTTGTGGACACCTGTGTCTTGAGCAGCTGCAGGTTCTGGGGACACAGCCAGGAAATAAAATAAACCCCTGCCCTCAAGGAGCTGTGCTTTACTGTGTTTGTGTGTGGGTGTGAGTGTGGAGTGGAGTGGAGTGGGGTGGGGAGGGGGATACAGAAAAAGAAATATGTTGGGTATTGATTATTGCCAAGAAGAAAAACAGAACAGTGTTAAGAAGAATATAGAGTGAAGGTGTGTGACATTATGATATAGGGGTCTCAGAGGTGAGCAGAGGCCTGCATGGAATTTGGGAGCAGGTGCCTAGGAAAGAGCCAGATGTGTTGAAGGAATACAGGGGCGGCTGCAGGTGGAGCAGAAGTTGTCATTGAGAGGAGTGGTGAGAGCCAAGTCCAGAGAGACAGTTAGCCAGGACAGTGGCCCTTGTAGGTAGTAAGGACATCCATTCCATTCCAACTGAGATGGGAGGCCCCAGGAGTGATGTTAAAGTACATCACTCTGGCTGCCATTTGGAGAATGGCTAGTAGGGTGTGTGATAAAGGAAACAGATTGGGTTATCTAGGAGTGAGGGGGTAGTGGTCTGGATCAGCTGATAGGCAATGATGAGATCCCATATATTTTTTGAATGAAATGAGAGAAAATAATCCCTGCATAAAGAAGTACTGTTGTTCTGATTATGCTTTCCCCCCCCCGCCCCCCATTATTTCCCCCTCTCTGCTTCTGTTTGACTCTTTTACAGAACCTAAATTAAGTGTAGCTCCTGAAATGGATATCATGGACTACTGCAAAAAAGAATGGAGGGGAAATACTCAAAAAGCTACATGTATGAAAAAGGTATGACACCTGCATGCACATATTTCAAGTCTTTCAAATAGTCTGTCATAGGTAATTATTTAGTGTGTCCTTTTATATTTTTAGACATTAATTATGACAATTGCTATTACACTATGTAAATATTAGTGTTCTGATTTTAGAGATAAGGAACAGTTGCCGAAGATAAGGGACTTTTTCCGAGTCCCAGTATTAAAATAGAATCATCAGTTTTTTAGTAATATAAGTTCCTTGAAAAACACAGAAATGATTCTGCTGTTTAGAGTTGGGCCAGCCGTTGCTTGTCCTCTTGGAATCATTTGGGAATGTTTTACTGGCCTGGTGAGGTAAAAGATGTCTAATCCCCTACTGTCCCCTGGGTTTTGTTTCATGCCCTCCAGTCTTAGGGGCTCCTACACTCCCCAAGTACAGGGATCTGGAACTCCCCTTCATTTAGGGCATTCCAGGAGTTGTCCCCTCCCAACACTATTGTACAGATTGGTGACCCTGTGGTAGTCTCCAGGCTGTGGGACATGCCAGGGTCCTGTTGTGACTGGACTGGCTTGTTACTCAGATCAGATCCCCTGACTCACTCCTACTGCACAGCCAGCTGGACAGCACACCATTCCTTGCCCTTGAACATGTCCTGAATCCAACATTCCTTACTAGTGTGAACCATGCAAAATTGCTACCATTCGACAGTTGTGAGCTGCAAAAATGAGTTTCAGTCTAAGTCTTACACCACCTCTTATAAATTCTGGGTTATATCTCCTGTTCATTTTTCTCTTGGGTTTATTTACATTGTGAATTTGAATGCACTTCTTGTATACTGGAGATATTGATCTATTATACTTGGTAGATATTTTTCTAATAGATTTTTTTGTTTGTAACTATTATTTAGTATTTAAAATGTTTAAGTAGCCCTAGCCAGTTTGGTTCAGTGGATAGAGCGTCAGCCAGGTGGACTGAAGGGTCCCAGGTTCGATTCTGGTCAAGGGCATGAACCTTGGTTTTGGGCACATCCCCAGCAGGAGGCAGCTGATCGATGTTACTCTCTCATCGATGTTTCTAACTCTTTATCCCTCTCCCTTCCTTTCTGTAAAAAAACAAACAAATAAAAAAAAAAAACATATATATATATATATATATATATATATATATATATATATATATATATTAAAAATTAAAATGTTTAAATATTTGAATACATTTGGTCTTTATTTCAGAGCTTGTTTTTGTAGACAGTATTGCACATCTTTCAGCAGGCAACTCAGCTGCCCAGGCCTACCTGGCAATGAGCTGTGCTTAACTCAGAGTGTAGCTGTCACTTTTCAAGCTCTGAGAGCAGATGTCAGCTCTGCCCCCTGTAGGTGTGGACTGCAGGCTCTTTGTGTCTCAGTCCCTTGTGAGAGAACTCAATCAGGAAGTACCAGGACTCTCAGTTCCTGCCAGCAGTGAAGGGTGAAGAACATCTAGATTTGTGAGGCCATTTGCTGAATCTGCGTATCAGCCATAGATTTTTTAACAACCTTCACCTGGTATCAGACTAGATAACCAGTAGCCCATTATCTAAACACAGGCATAGCTCATTTTATTGTGCTTTGCTTTGTTGCCTTTTTTACAAATTGAAGATTTGACACAATCCTGTATGAGTAAGTGTATTGATGCCATTTTTCCATCAGGCTCAGGTGATTGTTAGCATTTTTTTTTTTTAGCAATAAAGTGGGGTGGGGTTTTTTTTATTATTTTTTTTCAGTTTCAATTTACATTCAGTATTATTTTGTATTGGTGTCAGGTATGTAGCATAGTGGTTTCACAGTCATATACTTTACAAGTGTTCCCCTGATATATCCGGTATCCCTCTGGCACATACATAGTTATTACAATATTATTGACTATATTCCCTATGTTGTACTTTATATCTCTATGACTGTTTTGTAACTACCAATTGTGTGTGTGTTTTTAAAAAAAATATATGTTATCCATTTTTTACAGAGAGGAAGGGAGAGAGATAGAGAGCTAGAAACATCAATGAGAGAGAAACATTGACCAGCTGCCTCTTGCACACCCCCTATGGGGGATGTGCCCGCAACCAACGTACATGCCCCTGACCGGAATTGAACCTGGGACCCCTCAGTCTGCAGACCGATGCTCTACCACTGAGCCAAACTGGTTTCGGCCAATTATGTTTTTTTAATTAAGGCATATACATTGCTTTTTTAGGCATAATATTATTGCACACTTAATAGACTACAGTGGAGTGTAAACATAACTTGTATATGCATTGGGATACAAAAAATTCAGGTAACTTGCTTTATTGAGATATTCACTTTACTGCGGTGGTCTGGAACTGAACCTGTAATATCTCCTAAATATGCCCATATTTTTTCATGTTCCCCAGAAATACTTCCACTGGCTTGCAATTTTATTATATGACCTCATTCTCTTTAAAGGATTTTTCTAACAACTGGCACCTGAAAGTCCATAATTGAAGATGACCCCTAAGTTATCCAAATATTCCATATTTTGGAACTCATGCTGAAATAATTTCTCGGTCATTTTATTTCAAGAAAAAGATTTGACCCTGTAGTTGGGTTTTTCAGGGACCAAATGGAATCAAAGGCACATCAGTTAGAAAAACATCGTCACATCAGGACTCATGGTCCTTTTGTAGAGCATCTCGGGCCTGATAACAGCATGGGTCTCGGTTCTTTTTTTAGTCCTCATTTGTCTGTTTGGGTTTCTTTTGGAGATGTGTATAAATCCAAATTTAATTTTCAAAGTTTGACTCACCTCTGAAATAGCGTGAGTAATGTAGTATGCATTTTGAGAGGTGCAGTTGCTGTTGAATAAGTCATCGTGAATATTCAAGGTAATTGAGGGTTCACCATAGGGAAGAGATGCACATTAGTAAACATGAGTCTGCTTGATGGTCCCTCATCTGTCACAGTGATTGGACCACTACCTAAAAATGGGACTCCCAACATTTTGTTATAAAGTAGTAGTTTCATACCCACTAAGAGCACTGTCTGTGACTGGACCTTGAACACAGCTCATGATGAGGATGCAGCACTTGGACACAGGGTGGCTGGCTGCGTGGTGAGAGTGAGACTCCTTTGAATGAGTGCAGGGTAGGAAACGGTCTCCAGAAACTGTCGAGGGAGAACAGGCCAAGTGAGAGGATAGACAGGATCGAAGTGAGCGAGTTGGGGGAGCGCTGAGGTTGATATGATCCCTGAGCAGTGTGCCCAGCCAGGGAGATCAGATCATCAGAGGCCTGTGGACCGGTCACTAGGATTTTATAGTGTCCTTTTGTAGAGTATACTTCAAAATATTCCATTTGAATGCTGATTTTGAGAGCATGTCACTGAACATTTTCATTTCCTCCTTTCACTTCCAGATTGAACAAGAATGACAATTAATTCCACTTTTATTTATTTATTTAAAATATTTTATTGATTTTGTACAGAGAGGAAGGGAGAGAGATAGAGAGTTAGAAACATCAATGAGAGAGAGTCATCGATTAGCTGCCTCTTGCACACCTCCTACTGGGGATATGCCCGCAACCAAGGTACATGCCCTTGACCAAAATCAAACCCGGGACCTTTCTGTCCCCAAGCCGACACTCTATCCATTGAGCCAAACCAGTTTCGGCTTAAATCCACTTTTAAAATAGTATAACAGAATTATCCAAGAATTAGACTTTTTAAAATGTGCCATGGAAAATTGGGATTTTGGGATGTGTGTGTGTCTGTATGTGTTTTAATACAGAGATACAAATGTAGTACATCTTTCTCTTCTTTCCTATCTTTTCATTAAAGATTTAGGGTCAATTTAAATACAGATTAAGCCCTTCAGAATTATCTATAATAATAAAAGCATAATATGCTAATTAGATGGGACATCCAATGTCATTTTTAAAAAAAATATATTTTATTGATTTATTCACAGAGAGGAAGAGAGAGGGATAGAGAGTCAGAAACATCGATGAGAGAGAATCATCCATCAGTTGCCTCCTGCACACCCCCCACTGGGGATGTGCCCGCAACCAGGCACATGCACTTGCCTGGAATCGAACCTGGGACCCTTCAGTCCACAGGCCGACGCTCTATCCACTGAACCAAACCGGTTCCGGCCCAATGTCATTTTGGATGTCCTTCTGGAAGCTGCCATGGTGGGGGCTGAGGCAGAGGTGGTTAGGGGCGACCAGGCAGGCAGGCAGAGTGGTTAGGGACAATTAGGCAGACAGGTGAGTGGTTAGTAACCAGTGATCCTGGATTGTGAGAGGGTGCAGGCCAGGCTGAGGGACCCAGCCTCTGTCAATACATAATTTTGTGCACCCAGCCTCTAGTCAATCAATACATGATTAAAATTACCCATACATTCAGTTATCAATTCATAAGTGTGCAATAATTGCTTAGGAAGGTCATATAACTCCAATTTTGAGAGTGGTTGGTATTTTAATAATACTGTGTATATTATTTATATGGTATAGTGTATTGCATCTGTTAACATGCTGATATTCTGTACAGTACTAACATTTGTTAATATCTTTTGATTAATAAAGAAAGAATTAGAATGTCTTACATGAAGGACTCAGCCAGTCTTGTTTCCAGTCTTTCAGGGGCACATTTTCCCACAGGAATAAACTCTCCCTGAAGTTAGTAACAACCATTTTGAATTCTTTGATGCTTTCACCCAGGGCTATGAAGAGGTATCTCAGAAATTCACCTCCATAAGGCGAGTCCGCGGAGATAACTACTGTGCACTGCGCGCCACGCTGTTCCAGGCCATGAGCCAGCCGGCGGGGCTGCCCTCCTGGCTGCAGGACCCGGAGCTCACGCTGGTACGCTGCTGCTGCAGGTTTGCGTCCGTAATGTTTCCAATCGTTTCTGTGAGCAAGACTTCCCTTTTCTGCCTGTGCTCTGTGCTAGCCTAGCCTGCAATATGACGTCAGCATGTGGGTTCATTGGGTTTTGTGTGGTTGGGACGATTTTGCATAGCAAAAGTGACCAAAAATAGTATTTCCCAGAAGAGAAAAATGATAAAACTTATTTGAACAGTTGAGCTGAATTAGTGAGCAGGTGTTAAGAGTTTGTAAAGGAGAAGTTTGGTTTTTGAGCTGGTGCTGATTTGAATGGATGTGGGAGTGACACCTGGAAAGCATGTCTCGTGTCATGTGTCCACAAACATCAGATGAGGTCATGTCATAGGTTGGGTGATAGAATACCTCAGAGAGTTTGGTGGGCTGGAATGATTGAGCAAAACTGACAATAGGGCATAATTAGAAAAAAAATGGAAGTGTTGTGCTTATTTTAGGTTCTGGATGAAACTGAGAACCTAATTGAAGGTTTGCAGCAGGGCTGCCCACATGCTGCCAGGGAAGCCGTCTTTGTTACCAAGGAACACGTGCCCTTTCGCTAGTTGTATTAAAAGGTGTTCCCTGTTGCATTTTGCCCTCTTCCCTCTCTCCTGGAACAGGACATGGAAGGGATGCGGGAGAGCTGGGCTGAGAGCCCCTCCCCTTAGTCTGATCTCAGTGGAGAGAGCCTGGACTTGGCTTTCTGCCTGTGCTCAGCTCCTCTGGCCTTGCTCCTTCCCCGCCTGGGAGGTTAAGCTTTGTCCTCCCTGCCCCTCGGATAGTTCAGCTGTCCCTCACCTCCTGTCCTTGCCTGGGCTCCCTATATGTTGTTTCTGCATCTGTCAGATTCCAGTTTTGGTATTTGATCCGCAGTCAGGTTACCTAACAACCTTGGAGGTGCTTGGCTTGGCTGTTCTTACACTTGGAGCAGGCCTGGGTCCCTGAGAGGTGGTGTCCTTTAGTTTAGTCCTTTGCTTTCCAAGTTTTCTAAGCTTTAGAATGTCTCTGAGTGGGTGGGATCTGTGGCAATGTGTGCTTAGAGTACGTTAGACTCTAAGGTATAGTGAAACTTACTTTATGAGTTAGTTGTAGGGATGACACATTTTTATTTGCTACTCCTTTAATCATGGTGTTGATTTCAAGAATTATAGACTTGTTAGAGAAAACAGGGTGTTTTTATAATTCAGTCACAAATTGAATTATACTTAAGCTAATTACCTATTTTATTCTTAAATATTTCCCATCATTATTTTGTGTTGTCTTGTTTCTTGCTCAAATTTTTAACAGAAGTCCAGTCTCTTAAGGTACAGGAGAAAAGAATGGCTATTTATGTGTTCTGTGTATTAGGAGCCCTGAAAACACTTAAAATTATGTTCACTTCTTTCTTCTGAATAAATAATTCCAACTCAATTATTTTTTTCTTTTTCACACCTTATTTTTTGGACTTTCTCCACTGTCTCCAGAACTATGCACCCTGAGTTGGGAGAATTGCTCTAGCAACACTGAGCAATGCATGGAAGGATTGAGGAGATGGACTTTTTTTTGGGTTTCTGGCTGCATAGTTAGATCTTTGGGGTCTCCTGGGTAATTCAGCTGAGTGTTGTGCCTGCCTTTTAGATACCTGCACAGTGTCCCGTGATGTTCAGATGGGCTTAAGGGCTTTTCTTTCCTCGGTTCCCAGCTCACATCTGTGCGGCCCAGATTTTCTGCTCACTTGCACTTCTCTGTGCCCAGTTGTGATTTCAGCTTGTTGCCACTTGAGGGCATTTCAGGTTCTGGATGAAACTGAGAACCTAATTGAAGGTTTGCAGCAGAGCTGTTCACATGCTGCCAAAATGCAGGACAGTGTGGGCACAGAGCTGGGTGGCTCATGTGGGGGGTGGTCATTTGTTATTACGATAAGCCCCTTCCCCCTATGAGTAAGTGGATGAGCATCACTGTGGGAACTGCAAAAGGAATTTATATCCCAGTGGTGGTTTTGTTTTTTGCAAAGATGAAACCACCTTTGTTTTACATGATTGGTATAGACTGAGAAGGTAAAACTGGAATTACCATTATGAAAGGGTAGACAGGGTCTTAGATTCCAGAAGAACTTAACATATGGTCTCATTTAAAACTATTTATGCCCTAGCCAGTTTGGGCATAGATCTTCGGCCTTTGGACTAAAGAGTCCCGAGTTCAATTTTGGCCAAGGGCTCATACCCGATCCCTTGTAGGGGGCATGCCAGTCAGTGATTCTTTCTCATCAGTGATCCTTCTGTCTTTCCCTCTCCTTCTCTGAAATCAATGAAAATATGTTTAGCAAACCCCACCTATTTATAATGTTAAACAAGCTCAGGTTCCACATAGGATGTTGTAGGAATTAATTATTCTTTAATGATCTTTTGACATGGAGGTGAACTTTTCCCCCCCTCTCTAAATTTTATAGCAGTGGCATGACATGCCTGTGCCCAACCTAATAATATGGATTTTTTTCCTGGCACACTGTTGGGAGAGTGAGTTCCCATGCTGTCATCCATCAAGTTGTGTCCCATCTTGCCTTTCAGACTCCAGATTTCACTGATGATTGGTGGGAAATTACAAAAGGGAAGCAGACAAGTATGAGTTCAGCTGCCACCATTACAGCTCCCTTAACCCCTTCTTATTCTTGGTGCTGGTTTTTTTTATTTTTTATCTTACTATACTAAGCAGTTGAACTAGATACAATATTGCTTCATTAAAACTTGGAGTATATGTGTTAATATCAAAATTAAGTTTTGTTTTCTTAGTCAGGAAGGGAGCTGGTTTTTACTTTATCCTGGACCATCTTTCAAGTCCTGGAGCCCCTTCCAGAGGCAGGCAGCATGGAGTGATAGGGAGGCTAGGACATACACTCACAAAGTGCTGCACAGAGTTTCTGGCTGAGGTGCTTGTGCAGGGTAGATTGAGCCCCTGTATCTCAACCCAAACCTTCATTTCACTCCAGCAGTCCTTCTTAGGGCAGTACTTTCTGGGTTCCTGACTTCAGGCTTAGGTGATGCAGCCTAAACCCACATGACAGGTTTGCAGGGATTAATTCTGGAAATGAAGGGTAGGAACACTAGTGTTAAAGAAATGGGAGAAAGAGAAAGAAGAGCTTTGTGGTTTCTTACAGCTTGGTTTGTGTGATGGACTTTTTGGAAGGTTAATGTTCTTTGTCTCTCTGTTTCTTTATATTCCAGTTACCAGAAAAACTCATAAGCAAATACAGCTGGATCAAGCAGTGGAAACTTGGGTTGAAATTTGAGGGGAAGAGCGAGGACCTGGTTGATAAAATTAAGGAGTCCCTCACTTTACTAAGGAAGAAGGTTTGGAACATGTAATTTTCTTTTTTTTTTGTGAAGTGCAAAAGCTCCTGCTCCTAATTGCTCCAGCAGATCATTTTTTTTCCTCTTGGATTTATTGGGGGTGACATTGGTTAATAATTTTAATATAGGATTTAGGTATACAATTCTATAATACATCATCTGTATATTGTATTGTGTTCACCATCCAAGTCAAATCTCCTTCCATCCCCATTTATCCCCCCTCAGCAGACCACTTAGTCCTCACTTGGTTTACCAGATGTTCTTGGCTGGTTTTTAGGCAAAATAATTTTGGACAAACAAACCCTTCCTGTGAGGTCTTTGGTAAAGTTGAGAAATATCAAGTATTCTTGGAGAAGATATGTTTAATGATTTGTTTAACTGTCTTAAAAGGAAACTATAACAAATATAGTCTTTGTGCTAAGTCATACTAACAAGTTTCAGTGATACATTTAGTCCATATTTTTCTTTAAAAAAAAAGTTTTTATTGAATTGGGAGAGAGGAAGGGGGAGGAAGAAAAAGACAGAGAAACATCAATATGAGAAAAACATGGATCTGCTGACTTCTACGTGCACCCAACCAGGGATCAAGTCCAAACCCTGCGCTTGTGCCCTGACTGGGATCGAACTAGTGACCTTTTAGGGACAGTCCAAATTTCTTACATCAGTGATATGAATTTATGCCCATGAGGCTTTCAGCTTTATGAAAGACTGTTCATTTCTTTATACCCAGGGTCTAGACCTGAGCCTGCCACATAATAGGCATTCGGTAAATATCTTGTTGATGGATGAACTGAGGACCTGACTTCTTGGAATCTAGTTTGGGTTTGCAATCATAGAAATATTTACTGCAAAATACACTGTCACAGGAACACTAGTGATGAAATGGGAGGACAAGGAAGACAGAGGGATTCCTTTGTTCTTGCATGTTAAGAAGAGCACAGGATTGGTGGGGGTTGGAGACCTGTGCTGCCCAGTCTCCGGGTCAGTGGAGGGTTGAAGGCAGGACTCTGGCCCTGTAGGAGTGAGTGAGAAGGCTCTTGAGTCCAATCACTTGTGATTTCCTTTTTATCTTTTAAGTTCTTGTGAAATTGCAACTTTTGCTTTTTTTTTTTTTTTTTTTTTTGTGTGTGTGTGTGTGGTGTATCTAGGGTAACTGGATCCTCGTTTTGGGGAATGTTTAAGTGATTCCAATTTACAGAAATGTGAAAATTATTAATAAACTGAGCTTCATTCCCAGCACTTTCTATGGGCCAGGCCATACACTAAAAGTTGTATTTAATTCTCACAACTACCAAGGTGATGTTGCTATGGTTATCCCATTTTTACAGCTGAGAAAACTAAGGCCCCGCAGTTGGTTAATGCCCTGCAAAAGCCATCAGCTCTTGGGTGAGGCCTTCATTCTGTCCTGACTCTGGAGCTCTGCTCTTGACTGGCAACTTGTCTCCTTCTGGAAAATATGTTCCAGCTTTCAACCCGCTTGTTGGAGAGTCCTGTGCTGTCATTACCATTAACATTTACTCTTGGATTTAAAATTTTAATGGGTTTTCAGGGGAGAGGTAGTTACTGGTGATTCATAAGGACTAGTTTTATATTGGCATCTTTTATTCTCATTTAATTTAAAAGTACATGTATTTATGGGGTTTTCTTGTTCACATAAAGAGTGTGTCTATTTTGGCTGAATACCTGACACTGCTCTATTCTTAATCAGGAGTCACTTAGAATTTCCTGAATGGGTTTATTCATTTGAACTTTTTAGGAGGTTAGAAGGTTAAATTTAGTAAACTAATATTTAGGAGATCCCCTAGGCTTCCTTGCCCATCTTCATTTTTGAAGGTTTCTGGATAACTGTACCTGTAAGCCCCCTTACAGAGAGGAGTAATTTTAGTTCTTCACAGCTTCGCACTCAGGACTCACACACGCACGTTAGGTCTTCCATAAATATTTCCAATTGATTGAGTCTCATTACCTGGGAAGTTAGGGTTCCAAATTGCCATTCCTCAGTCCCAGTGCTTCTTAGTGTATTGTACTTTTGTTTCAAATTAATGGAGCAGAAACTGAATAAGGATTTTGTGTGGTCTAAAGAGTAGTACCATTGTTTGAGCTGGAAACTTGAATGTAGTGACCCACGGTTGCCTACTTTTGAAAATGATTTTGTGCTCAAAGTATGGAAGTATACCAGGGACTTTTAGAACAGAAACGTAATTATTATGTAACTTTTTTATTGCAGTGGGCAGGCTTGGCTGAACTGAGAACTGCTGAAGCAAGGCAGATAGCTTGCGATGAACTGTTCACAAATGAAGAGGAAGAATATAGCCTTTATGAAGCTGTAAAATTTTTAATGTTACACAGAGCCATTGAACTATATGATGATAAAGAGAAGGGCGAGGACGTACCATTTTTCTCTGTGCTTCTGTTTGCTCGGGACACATCCAGTGACCCTGGACAGCTACTGAGGAACCATCTAAATCAGGTGGGACACACTGGTGGCCTTGAACAGGTGAGTTATACCTTTGCTTATTTATCCCAAAACACCAGTGTTAACCATCAAACATTACCTCTTAGTGCTTGGGTGTCAGGAATTCAGGGGCAGCTTAGTGGGTGACACTGGCTTGAGGTCTAGTGGTTGCAATCATCTGAGGACTTGACTTGGGTTGGAGGATCCATGTCTATTGGCAGGAGGCCTCAGTTCCTCACTGGTAGGGGATAGTTCCTTGCCATGTGGGGCTTTATATAGATAGGGCTCACAACATGGCCACTGGCTTCTCTCAAAGTAATTCCAGAAGAGAGTGGGGAAGAAGCCACAATGCCTTTTATGATCTAATCTTGGAAGTCACACCCCATCACACTTACCCATGTTATATTTGTTAGCAAGTCACTAAGTTCACCCCGCTCTTGCAGAATTGTGGACCTATTTTAGGAACAACATGGTTATCTCAGCCTGGGCTTGCTTCTGAAGGTGGTAATGGGATCAGTATCTTTGGATCTGGTAGTCTAAACACCCTTCACATGACTTTTTTTTTTTTTTTCAATCTTGGCAGCTGTACCTGTATTAGCTAGGATCCTTTAAAAATAGAAATGGGGTCACCTTAGCTAGTAGAGCGCAGGCTGCTCTTGGATCTTTTACACAGAGACTCAATGCAGTGCTGTCCCAGGAGGCAACAGTTGGCTCACTTTTCACTGTCTTTGGTGAGGTTTATTACGTTGCCTTAAAAAGCTTACGTCTTCTTTAGTTTGAATAGCCAGCCACTAAAGTCGCAATAAGGCTATCCTTCCAAAGTGCTTCCTTCCTTCTTCCATGGCTGGCTCTTTGGCTTGCCTTTTCGTGATCTGTTTGAAAGAGCAAAGATGATGGTCATGCTGGGTCAGGCAGGATTGAAGATAATTATTTTAAAAACAATCTGTAAGTTACCTAATGTCTTTTGAACAGTAGCAAGGACAATGCAGTGAAAAGCCTGCTAGGGTGGGTTTTGCATGTTAGGCTGAAGGTAGTCCTTTCTGGGTCTCCACAAGGTCTGCTGTTATGGAGAGTCCAATTTTTTAAAAACCGCTTTATTGAGATAATTTACCTACCATAAAGTTTGCCCTTTTAAAGTATGCAGCTCAATAGGTTTTTTATATGTTTACAGAGTTTTGCAGCTATCACAGTCTAATTTTAGACCATTTTATCACCCCTAAAAGAAACCTTATGCCCATTCTTACTCCCCGCTACCCCCCAGTCCTAGCCAGCCAGTACTCTTTCTGTCACCTTAGATTTGCCTACTATGGAGAGAGTTCATATAAATGGAATCATAAATCATATAATATGTGGTCTTTTGTGACTGGTTTCTTTCAGAGCTTAGTGTTTTTAAGATTCATGCATATTGTATCATGTGTCAATTCATTCCTTTTTATTGACAAATAGTATTCCATGATATGGGTATATCACATTTTATTCATCAGTTGATGGATATTTGGTTCATTCCATTTAACTATTCTGAAAAATCCTGCTATGAACATTCATGTGCAAGTTTTTTTGTGTGGACATATGTTTTTAGTACCTGGGAGTGGAATTGCTAGGTCATATGGCAGTTCTTTGTTTAGTGTTGAGGAGCAGCTGTATCATTGGTCATTCCCACCTGCAGTGTTTGAGTCCCACATCCACACCTCACAATAACATACAAGTAACCATTTTAAAGTGTACAGCTCAGTGTCCTTTAGTACATTTACCAGTTATGTGACCATCACCTGTATCAAATCATTTCATGCCTGAAAAGAAAAAACCTGGTAAGCAGTCACTCCCCGCATCTATTGTCATTTTGATTAGAGCCATTCTATAGGTGTGACGCGGTGTCTCACCATGGTTTTGATTCCATTCCCTTGATGACTTTTCATGTGCATATTGGCCATTTGCGTATCTTCTTTGGATAGCTGTCTTTTGGACTCTCCCTCATCAGACACAATCCATTGTTGGTGATTTGCTTGTTTACAATGACCATATGAAAGAGGGCTGGGGCTAGGTCCTTGGGGAGGAAGAAGGGTTTTAGCTTAGCCGGCATGGCCTGGGACACCTGGGTTGGAGCCGGAGGTAGGTGGCATCTTTCACTTACCCGTTTGTTCTCCTCCCCAGATTGAAATGTTCCTCCTGGCCTATGCGGTGCGCCACACCATCCAGGTGTACCGGCTCTCCAAATACAGCACTGAGGAGTTCATCACGGTCTACCCCACAGACCCACCCAGGGACTGGCCGGTGGTGACCCTGATCGCTGAGGACGACCGGCACTACAACATCCCCGTCAGAGTGTGTGAGGAGACGAGCTTGTGAGAGACACACACCCGGACAGCCTGGCAGCAGGGCCAGAGTGTGCGGCACCTCCTCAGCTCGGTCAGCTGGTCTCTTAGAATGAATTATGTGGACTTTTGGACACTGCGAGCCAAGCTGGCCTGGGATGTTCTGAAGACTAGCTTCTGATAATGAGTTAACCAAGTTTTCTCCTCATATATGATGCAATATGTTTTAGTAGAACCTTTCAGAGCCACATCTGTTGGAAGGTGCACATCTTTTCCATAAAATAAATATTTTAGTATCAGGAGAATATGTTCTTTTTATCTCAAACCAAACTTTCTCTATTAGTAAACTGGCTTTCAATTTTTTTTTAATAATTTTTTTGTTTTGGTAGTAATGGGTGTCTGGTGCCTGCCCTTCCTATGCAGTCTGCTTATGCGGTATAATTCTGGGATGGAATCTGCTAATGGCGCAGTCTCAACATCCTCTGTAGTCTTGGCAAGCAGTGATTTGGATTTACATACTAATTAAAGCTACCTTAAACAGATTACTTAATGGAAGACTGATAATTGGTTTTCTAGAGGCTGGAGAGGAGCAGAAGGGAGACGATGGCACCTGGAAATCCTTGCTTTTCGAGGACATGACCAGTAGTGTTGAGTCCGCAGCCACACCAGGTTTGGTGCGGGGTGCAAGTGGTGTGCTTTAGGGTCGGGCTGTTAATTACTCTGTGGCCCATAGGCTCACTACCAAAGTCAGAACATAGCTCAGATCTACCTGTGTTTTTAGAGGAGGAAGCCAAGGCCAAATAACCGTAGGCACTCGTCTGAGTTTAGGGGTGGGATATGCTGGATCCAGATCTTCCTGTGCCCTTTTCCTGCTATCTTTTAGGATGTTTCTATTGCTGGCAGTATATCTGCCAGCAGTACTGCACAGCACTAAAACAGTGCAAAAGATGGCTGTGCTGTATCCCTGCTTTATTTTTGGAAAACTCGAGGGAGGCAGTGTTCTGGGCCATGAGCAGTTGCCTGCCTAGTGACCAGGTGGTGGTTACGGGGCAGCCTCACCGAGCATGGCCTGCATTAGGACTTGAATTGTCTACGTGAGGCATGGACTGTGGACACTGCTCACAGTAACCAGACACATCACTCTTAGGGTTGTACCAGCAGCACCCGAATTGGCTCAGCATTTGTGGAGGTGGTGTTTCCCTGAAGCACCGAGCTTTATTTTAGAATAACTTAAGTCTTTATTTGGTGCCGTTTTGGTGCCGTTTAATAGTTTATAAGCTCTCTGTGTTTTTTTAGTGGGGCGAAACTATTTTGAAAAGTAAGTTTTGCTTTCACTTCAAATTCTTAGTTGAGAAAATTCAGAGGCCACACAAAACTACACAGACTGTTATGTTAGCATTTTCCCCATGACCTTGTCAGTACTGGTCACCACATTTTGGTAGATGCTAGTTCCCTGAATCAAATTCTGCTCTAAATGTGTGTGGATTAGAGAGGCTTGTGTTTTTCACTGTGAAATGCAATGGTGCCTGGATAGGAGGTGCCTAGAAGCCAAATTCAAGTAATAATAATAATGATTTCTTCATTTTAATATTTGTAACATAACAGGAAGTACATACCACCGTTTGTTCATACCCACCATTGAATTTAATGGTACTCATGATCATTTGTCTTTGAGTTTTGAAAATAATCTAATCTCAGTGAACTTGAACTGGACTTCTAGGCAACCTAATTGTTTACATTTTATACTTTTTTGTTTCTGTGTACGGTATTATTAAGTTGTGATCTTCACTCCTACACTTATAAAAATTCAAAAAGATAAGTTTAATTGCTTTTCTGTCCCAAGGCCTTATTTGACCCTGCTCTCAGACATATCCAGGCTTAGTGGGGTCACAGCATAAGAGGAGCAAAGCTGTCCATGAAACAGTGCTTCAGGAAATACAGATGACTGGCCAACTTTAAAAATAACGTTTGTTGCAACATGCAACTTCAGTTACTCAGATTCCTAATTCCATTTCTCATTCCTGGTCTTGGGCTGGTCAGTGACATGAGCAGAATAAAAATGGAATTGAGACCAAAATTCCATTCAAGAGAACAATAATTTAGAAGGACCTCTAAAATGATCAAGTATCTATAAGGAAAGTTAGTGGGAATTGCACTGTGTTTACTTTCAATCCCAGAGTTTATTGCAAGAGTTCAGAGATTTTGGACTCTATGATTTTGGCAGAAAGATGATCTCCACCTTAAGCAGGCATGACTTATTCCTTTGAGTTCATTTAAATATTAATGGCACATAAAAAATTAATAAAAAATTTCTGTGTAGCAAGTTTTATGGAATTAGCTTTGCTCCTTCAGAATTTTTTCTGGCTCCTCTCCTCACCTGCATATACAGCTGTTCATCTCACCCATACACGTGGAATGGTGATGTCGGCAGTGGAGAACATGAGGCCAGTGTGTGGATTTTCACTTGTGATCTAGATGTAGGTGGAATTTTATCTGAAATGCTTGCAGTCCCTTTCTTTCGAATACGGCATATCTGAAAATGTTTTAAATGCACAGAACAAAACTGACCCTGTTTTCTCTATATAGCAATTTCCACTTTTATTACACTGTTATATATTCAGTTAATGCCTGATGAAATTTTTCTTTGATTAAGAAAAACAGACACTGTCTTTTTGTGTTCTTTCATTAGTTTATCAGGTAAAATCTCAGGCCACATGCACTAACACCTCTCTGCTGGAAGAAACGGCCTTTGCAGGTTATATGCTTATTTTCTTTTAAGTATTTTTGTTTTAAGGGCTGTGCTAGTCCTCCTGCTCTCACCCTCACCCCCACGTGCTGTTTTCTTCCAGATAATGACTGAAGTGCTTATGAAAATGATATCATTGCATTTAATGATGTAGCCTTTACCATCAGCATAGATGTAGGATTCCAGTATTCTTTCTGGCTGTTCTTTCTGATGTTAAAATAAAGTTAGATTATCTTCTTTTCTCTTTCTTAAGCAACACTTTGCAGGCACTCCCCCTTGAAAGCCAGAAAGTTATTTTCAGAAATATATACCTCCAGGGCATCTCACTTGTAGGCATACCTAAAAATAAATGCCTTTTTAAAAGATCTGTGACTACTGTGAAGTGAATCTGAAATGTGTGTGAAAGGCCTGGGGTGTCCCCAAATAGTTTAGCAGAAGCAGAGTCCAATGTCAAGTCATTTAAAAATGGCCCAAGGAACTGTACAAAGTGAACTGAAGGAGGACTGATTTTTAGATGAGAAATGCCTCACAGAAATGAAGCAACAGATGCCCTGCAGACCTCCTGGGCTTAAATTATAAAAGAATACAAATCTGAAAGAGAGGGAAGACCTATGTGGGTGGATTCTGCAAATTCCTTTTTCTAAAGTTTGTTAATTCCCTACGTAACAGAAGTGTAATATTTAATGCCTTTGGGCAACCTCATTGGTGATCTCTTCTGAGGGGTGAAGAGACCAGGGAGCCAGTGCTGAGTTGTACAGAGAATAAAGACTTATTTCTGGCAACTCTTTTAAATGTTTGTGTAATTCTATTTATAACCAGGAGCCATGGAAAGCACAAAACTCATTTGACTCCTTGACAGCACCTTAGTGGCAGTAGCATTGGGAGCAAGGTGGGCTTGCCATGCCCAGGAGGGGTGTGTGGGTTGTATGTGCATGCAAGCACATGCATGTATACAAATGTATGTGTGCTGAAGTCACATAGTGACTGTCTTATGTAAGGAGGCCTACAGCAGGGGGCCCATCAGAATTGGGTAGGTTGGAGGGGAGATGTCCCATTTGTATTTTTTTCTTGGTAAATTGAAAATTACGACTGGAAATAGTGGAATGGGTTAGTATGTATGTATAATTAAACTATACAGAGTGGCCATTAAATCTGGAAATACATTAATTGTATTGAAATGTTATATCAACAAACCATTTATTGTATGTCTCTGTTCCCAGGCCTTATGGCCACCTGTTTATTTAAAGATTTCAAATGCTTATTAATAGCCAGAGCTATTAATGGAGAACACTGACTGGAGTTTTATCTCAGTCTTGTTGATTTCTTGGGTGTAAGTCTGGGTCAGGGATGAAATTGCCAAAACATGGGTAACAGCAAGGAAACGGTCCAGTCCGGGCTTGAAATTTCAAGTTAGCAGTCGTTTCCCTGGGGTTAAGCTTAGTAAAGTCATTTTGTATTTAATTTTAACAGTTGTATTATATTGAAAAATGCCTTCATGTAAATGGTGCTATAGTATGGTACCCTTCCCTTTCAGGTTCACCCCTCCCTTTCAGGTTCATTTCTGAGTATTTAGATATGGGAACAAAGAGCCAAAATGAATGTATTTAATGAGTTATCTGCCCTTTTCCATTGCTTTTATAGAAATGTCTTGGTATTGTCACCTGTCTGGTATTTCTCCCTCAGCAGGCGGGGCTGGGAAGGGGGAGAGAGCAGCAGGTACACGAGGTGTGAACCTGGCCCTGCTCTTCTTGGCTTGTTTCAGTCAAGTCTCTGTTTACACTGTAAAATGTCAACATTTGTCAAAAAATTCTCCTTTTCTGGAAAACATGCCCCAGGCTCTGGTCAGTTTGGAGCCTCGCCTCCCACCTGCCTCTGCAGTGGGACACCTGGCTCAGGGCATAAGAGTTTCCTTTGTGACTTGTTTGAGTCTCATCTTCACAGTAAAAAAAATAAACAGAAAATAAAAACTCAGTGGCCTGGCTGTGTTGCTGTGGTTCAGTGCCTGCCTTTGAGGATTTTGGGAGATTGGGGTCTAATGCTTTAACTTTCCAATACCCCCAAGACAGGCCTGCGGTGCCCAGTGACTTCACAGTGTGAACCCATAGGATGTTCTTAGCCCTGATTAGGTGCCTGGTTCTGGAACTGGGTTTGGGTTCAGTTATCAGTCCCATCATTCATTATTAGGGTGAGCTGGGGCCAGTCACTTGACCTCCCTCCATCTGCATCCCCACCACACAGCCTGTCTTCCGGCGGGGTGGGGTGTGAAGTGAGGTACAACATTTGAGACACTTCCAGGAACCCTAGGCCTGCAAGGGAGGGCGATAGCCATAATCCAGACCCAGCTTTCCTGGGTGTTAGAGGAGAGGCCTGCTGTCTGTGCAACCTTCTTAGGTGTTCAAAACTATTCAGGCTTTTGGAAACGCACCCGGAAGTGTGATAGCAAGAACTGTGCATTGCCCGCCAACCAGAAGTGAGTGATGTGAAATGGGGGAAAACTGGGCATTCAAAGGTATTCCTGGGCATAGAGGATGAAGGATGAACCAGCAAAGACCTGTCTGCCTGTGAGTGGAAGAACTGCTTCCCACCCCCTGAACAGCTCCTGAGAGGTAGGACAGAATTGGCCCTTGGGTGGAAAAGCTCTGAGTGACATTCAATCCCCCAATTCCCTGGAGCTCCATGACCCCGCAGCCCAGCCTCCACCCTCAAGGATGGCTGTGAAGTTTGATGCTACTTTACATTCACTGAGACAATTTAGGCTATTTCTTACAGCCTAAAACAGTACTTTCTAAATATTCCTGTAGTGACATCTCCCCAAGACAACAACTAGAATGCAGTTTAGGGCAGATGAAATGCTCTTATGATGTGCTGTGCTGTTTATTTAGGAAATGGCCCTACTCCAAATGTCAGTATGCTGAGAAAGTAAAAAGCACATATACTACATGATTATATCCTAATTGTGCTTGTGATGTACTAAAAAAATTTTAAGAATCTGTAAGAGCCCAGCCACTATGGCTCAATATTTGACAAAGGAGGCAGGAGCACACATTGGAGTAGAAACATTCACTTCACTAAATGGTGTTGGAAAAATTGGACAGGTACATGCAAAAAATGAAACTAGCCCACCAACTTACACCATACACAAGAATAAACTCAAAGTGGGTAAAAGAAATGTAAGGCATGAAACCATAAAAATATTAAGAAAAAACATAGGTAGTAAAATCTCAGACATGTTGCGCAGCAATATGTTTAAGGGTACATCTACAGCAAAGGAAACTAAGGAGAGAACAAATGGGACTACATCAAAATAAAAAGCTTCTGCACTATAAAAGGAACTACCATCAAATTGAAAAGGAAACCCACTGAATGGGAGAACATATTTGCCAATAATACATCTGATAAGGGGTTAATATCCAAAATATAGAAGGTACTTATACAACTCAACAAAAACAATCCAATTTAAAAAATGGGCAGATGACCTGAATAGAAATTTCTCCAAGAGGGCATACAAATGGCAAAGAGACATATGAAAACATGCAAAAAATCACTAATATAGAGAAATGCAAATTAAAACCGCAATGACATATCACCTTACATCTGTCAGAATGGCTATCATCAAAAAATCAACAGTGCTGGCGAAGATGTGGAGAAAAAGGAATACTAGTTGACTACTGATGGGAATGCAGATTGGTATAGCCACTGTAGAAAACATGGAGTTTCCCCAAAAATTAAAAATGGAACTTTCATTTGACCCAGTGATCCCACTTTTGGGAATATATCCTAAAAAACCCCTAAAACACCAGTCGGAAAGAATATATGCACCCCTATGTTCAAAGCAGCGTTATTGACAATAGCTAAGATTTAGAAACAGCCCAAGTGCCCATCAGTAAATGAGTGGATAAAAAAGCTGTGGCACATTTACATTGGAATGCTGTGTAACTGTACCAAAGAGGGATCACTTACCCTTTGGAACAGCATGGTGGACCTGGAAAATACGCTAAGTGAAATAAGCAAACTGAGAAAGACATCACATGATCTCAGTTATTTGCAGAATCTAATGAACAAAATGAATTGATCAACAAAATAAGACCCGAAGCAGGGAGGACAGACCCCGACATACCTCAATGTGGGGTTGGGGGATGAGAAGAGATAAACCAAAGAACTTATCTGCATATATAAAAGCCAAACAACCAGAATAACTGGAACGACAGTGATGGCCAACTGGCCCAATCGGGGTCCTGATTGCCCCCCCTCCCAACCCCAATCAGGGGCGGGGCTGGCCTGCAAACCTCCTGTGTCCCCCTGGCCAACTCGAAGAATGGCGGGACCCCACACATGCATGAATTCATGCACCAGGCCTCTAGTATACTTATATGCATAGTCCATGGATATGGGCAGTGAAGTTAAGACCTAGGGGGTGGGTAGGGACTGGCAGGAAGGGGGTGGATGGGAATGGGAGATATCTGTAATACTATCAATAAAAAAACACATTAAAAATAAAAATAGAGAGTTGGAGGAGAAGGTCATAGGAAGGAGAGCTGATGTGCAGGTGACGTAGGGTCAGAGCTTGTTCAGGTGAGGAAGGTGTGAATGCCTTCATTCATTCACCAAAGAGAGCCTGGTCAGGGCAGCTCTTTTCCAAATCGAGGCAAGGATGAGCTGGCACAGCCCTGCCCTCCCTAGTCCTCTCTTACCCTCCCCACCTTTGAGAGCCATGACTCCAGGGATAGAATCACAAAGCAGCTTTATTTTTGTCTCCTACAGCTCAAGTAGGAGAACAACACCTTGCTCACGCTTGGATAATAGAGACCACATTATTTCAAGTTGCCAAATGCTATTCCAGTTGTAAAACTGGAGTAACTAAACTGGTATAGGATTCAAAGGTGACCAATTGTGAAGGGCCCATTGCAAGCTCCCCAAGTACCCGCTGAAAAGCTCTCTTCTAGGCTTCAGTATCAGGGACTCTCCCACACATGTGCACACACCCCTGAGGAGGAGAAACCACCTCTTCAGATTCTCTTTCTAGATGTCTCCTCTTTTATGCCCTCATGGTGAATGAAGAGCCACGGAGAAGATTGGAATGGGGCCAGAGTTTAGGTGCCGGAGCAGGAGGCTGGGTGCCAGCAGGATTCCCATTGTGTGTTGCTACTGCTCTTTGGGGGTTAGCACCCTCCTGATCCCTGGCTGGGCTCTCATTTACTACCCATGGTCCAGGCTCAGCAGGGCCATCCTGGCAGTAACCCAGCACCAAGAGAGAGAGAGGAAGGGCCAGCCTGGAAGGGCAGGTGAAGGGGGTGGGGGTCAGGTGGTCAGACTGCTGGGAATGTTGGTACAGGTTGTGCACTGCAGAATTCCAGGAAGGGTCACTTCCATCCTGGTCTGGCGGCCCTGAGCCTGGAGAAGGCTCCTGTAGCATCCAGGCCCTCAGGGTCCAGGAGCACCTGCTCTGAAGAGGACAGAGGGAGGGATGGAGAGACAGAGGAGGAAGGGCCGAAGGCAGTGACTTGACAGCAAGGGGACTGGCCAGTAGAGCAGGTTTCTGGGTGGTGATGACATCATTCACCTTGTCAGGAGAAAGCATGGGAGGGGCTGAAGGCCAGGTCTGGCCCGCCCCTCTGAGATGCTGGGAGGTGGCTGGAACAAGCCAGGGCTGGGCTAGCAGCCCTGAGGATCATCGTGAATTTGGAATCAGAACAGGCCCAGATTAGGCCACCTGGGAACATGCAGAACGAGATTCCCAGCTAAGGAGGGAGCAAGCCCGGGGCTGGGAGCCATTCTATTCTTTTACAAAGAAGGTGGAATTAAACAGCATTTAGAACAGTTGTGGGTGAGGGAGGTGCTGAAATCTGGGCAGTGGGGGCAGGTGGGGGAAGGCAGAGCAGAGCTAAGTAAGGGCTGCTAAGAAAATTCACGATTTGTTGCCAGGCATAGGGGAGAAGTCGCTCTTTGAATCAGTCGTGCACAAATTTGTGAGCTTCTATCCCACCAGGGTGAGAATCAGGGTCAGGTTTAGGATTTAGGGTTAGAATTTAGGGTTAGGGTTAAGGTTAGGGTTTGGGGTTAGTGCTAGAGTTTGGGTTTAGGGCTAGGGTTAGGAGCTAGAGTTAGGATTTAGGGTTAGGATTTAGGGTCAGGGTCACAGTTAGGATTGCTTTTGTCTTGGAGCTGACCCAGCCAGTGTGCCTCAGCCACTTTCCCTCAGAGTATGAATGTGATGGAAGAACTTGGGCGTAGAGGTGAATGATAATTATTGTATTTGTTCATTCCTTATTGGTCTTTCGAGTCAGAGCACCTGGGAGCAGCTGAGCTGAGCCAGTCTGACTAGAGAGGATGCAGAGGAGGGGTGAGAGATTCTTTGAGGGAAAACAGCTGGGGGTCAGTGGGTGGGTGTGGGAGATTTCTCAGTGGATGATAAAGGGATTCACCTGGCTGTCAGACGGGAGCGTGGGAGAGATTTGCCCTCGTGGTACTGCTGCGGGGAAAATTCACGATTTGATGCCAGCACAGCTCCCCAGCGTGACATTACAGCCAGGCAGGAAGACGCCATCTCCCCAGTGCCATGGGTGGAACAAAAGCCTATTTCTTAGACTTAAAAATCAAGGCAATGTTAAAACATTAGTGACAGAAAGGGGAAGTGTGGCAGAGGCAGGGCTGAGGCCTGGGATTTTAAGTCAGAGCCATGTAAGGAAGCAGCTCAGGTGGAAACAGGTCAAGCCAGGCAAGTCCGTAGAATGCCTACACCCTTGTTGATTACACGTGTCTTAACACATTGTGGGCGGATCACGAGCATTCTCGTGTTTTCATATGACACAGCGTCTTACAT